GATATGGCGCGAGCACGCCTAGCCTGCCCTTCTACTTTCTGCCCGGTCTTCTCAATTCTGCTCTCCCGCTTCTCCCGGAGGACTCCGAGCAGCAGGCGCGGGTGTTTCGATTGGGAAGGAATCCAGAGGCCCGCTCCCCCCCCCTCCTACCTCTCTGCCTATCACCCTCTTCCCCGCTTTTTGTTCGCTCAGGTCGTGAGTGAATCGGACGCCCGTTGAGTCTTTGTTTCCCATCCTTCTCAACTTCCCCCACCTCTCCCTCCCCCCGACTCCCTGGCTCCCTCCTACTCTTCCTGTTTCTCCTCCTCGTCCTTCCTCTCGATTCCCCCTCTACCACCACCCTGTCCGCCTCAACCTCCCCCATCCTTTCCCTCTTCGTCCCTCCTCCTCTTCTCCCAGAGGGGTAGGACAGAGGAGAAAGGATACGGCTCCGTGGTTACACTGAGGACATGTGACCCTGCCTCATGTACGCGCGGCTCACGCCTGATGCCTGGCCATTCTAATGCACTGTGTTAGGGCCCATCGGCCTTTCATTGGGTATGCACACTTTCGAGGCGATGGCCGACCCCAAGCACTGCCAAGCAACGATTCCAAGCTCTGATTCCGAGTAATGCCAAGCTCCTGCTCTTTCTGCGCCTCCTCCCTGCCCACTTGAATGTGTATTTCAGGTTCGCGCCGCGCTAATGCGGCGATGACCCCTGCTTGTTCGTTCAAGACAGTTCAAGGTTGAACGCCACCAGTGGCTTGGAATCGGCCGACATCAAGCGGTCTGCGCTGTCGGAAAGCCGCGATCGCTCACTGTTGAACCATCCGCGTGGGGTCAGAAACCAATGCCCGGGTCGTCGCGACACGAAGTCGCCGCCGTAGCCAGTGTGGCTCGAGGGTTCGTGCATCGTTGTCGGGCCAGCGGTTCTCGCAGCACATCGCCTGCACGCATGCGATGCGCAGGGGCCTGCTCTCGGGCCGTTCTCGTTGCTGCCTGCGTGATCGCCTCTGCCGCAGGCGGTGATGGTGGTCAGGGCGCTCACGCGCGCACGTCGAACGGGGTCGTTCACGGCAGCGTTCTGCCGGGTTCGGGTGTTGCAAGAGCTGGCCTTGGCCCAGGGAGGCCCCCAGCTTTTCGAGGGAGGGTCCCACGGCCTCGAGAGCACCCCCGCATGATGTCCAGAAGACCCAAGAGGCTTCGAAGTGGTGCGAAAAGCTGGAGACGCCTGGGCCCAGGAACGCTTGTAAAAGTCCCCGACAGGTGTTCACGAGTTCCTGGGGATGAAGTTTGCGGACGCGAAGCGGTTTGAGGCACCAGTTGCATTCACTGGCACTTATCCACAGCAGCCATTGATGGCCACAGATTTCGGGCCCGCGTGCATGCAGATCGGGGACACTGCCAACATCACGTATGGTTCTGAGGACTGCTTGTATGCCAACGTGTGGAAGCCCAGCGATGCGGAGCCAGGGGATAATCTTCCAGTCGTCGTCTTCATATACGGTGGCTCCGACCAGTTTGGCGAACCTGAGCCGTACAATGGCAGCGCGTTCGCCGCACGCCAGGGCGTCGTTTACGCGAGCATCGGCTACCGGACAGGCCCGATCGGCTGGATGGCTTTCGAGGAAGACGTGCGTGAAGGCAAGCCGACCGGAACTTGGGGCAGCCTTGACCAACAAGAGGGTTTGCGATGGGTTCAACGCGAAATTCGCAATTTCGGGGGAGACCCTTCCAAGGTGATAATTCATGGGCAGAGCTCTGGTGCGATGAATGTGGAGCTTCACCTGGTGATGCCAGGCAGCAAAGGCCTGATGCGTGGGCTCGCGAGTGAAAGTGGGGGTCTCAGTGCATCCAGTGTGACAAGTGGCCTCAAAACTACCCGAGCCATAGGCAGCATTGCAAAATGTAGCGGAGGGTCATTGAAGAAGTGTCTTCAAACAGTGCATCCGCTGACGTTGACCAGTCAAACTTACAATTTTGGTTGGGGACCTCACGTTGACACGGTCACTATTCCAGGTGACCCGATGTCGCTCCTTCACGAGGGTTTGATCAACAACGTGAGTACGATCATGGGCGCTCAAACCAACGATTCAAATAAAGGTCTACAAGAGTACCCTATGAAGGTGAGCGACTACAAAGCTCGAGTCAGAGAGCAAGTTGGGGCCGCCTTCTTAAAACGCGCTTTGGAGTTGTATCCGCCCGATTACGAAAACCTTGTGCGGAACGTACACACTGTAGGGAGCATTGGCAGTGATTCGATGCTGTGCGGGATCCGGCGACGGACCGACCTTGTGAACAGGCAAAACCCAGGCAGGGCCTTCATGTATCGTTTCAACTATTGGTATCAGTCCAATCCGAAGTGCAGTTCAGACCCGAATTGGCACGACAACACAACTGGGCCGCGCCATGAAGACGAGATTATGTTCGTCATGGGCCAGCCGATTTTTATGTTTGACGGATCCTGCTGCGGAAAATGGGGGAACAAGTTGAGAAGGGAGCCCTGTAAGCAGCAGGCTTACTGTGTGGATTGTTGGGACCCTTCACTCGGCGAGGGATATCATGCGTATCTGAAGAGCTGCGCTCTCTGCCCCCTTGCCCCCCGGGCTGGGCCGCGTTGCGGCTACAGGGGGGCAGATTGGGGGGCATTCTTGAGCTTTCTTCGGGCATCCTTGAGCCAAGGTTACCTTCGGGGCATATTAGTGAATCCCCCTCTGGCCAGAGGTCCCAAGACAGTACCAAAAAGGAGCCCCAGATTTGGGGCCCGCCTTGGGGGCCTCTTGGAGGCAAAATGGGGGCCGCCTGGGGCCGTGTTGGGCAATATCGGCGGATCTGGGGGGCTGCCTTGAAACGATTTCAGGACGTCTTGGAAGCAGAACGTGGGAGATGAAACATCAGTGATCACAGCATTGCTCCAGGGGGCGTCCTGCTGCCCTCCTGGCCCATCGTTCAGGCATCTCGGGGCCATGTTCGGCGGTACAGGTTTCTGCGGCCGTCTTCGGGGCCGTCTTCGAGGCCTCGTGGGCTCTCTTGGCCCCCTGGTGGCATCGCTATGGGAATCCTGCTCCCCTCCTTGTGTGGTTGTGTTTTGAAATCACGGGCCTCCACGTAGACAGTAGAATGGAGCAGTACCCGAGGGAGAATAAACAATTGATAACATAAACCTAGACAGGCGTCCGATGGCAATTTTCACAGCCGGGTGACCCAAATGGGGCCAGCGAGTTTCAACGACAAGGAGTGGGAGTTCTCCCAGACTGTTGGTGGATATTGGGCAAATCTCGCCCGATACGGCGTACCGAACAGTCCATCAACCGAAGATTGGCCAGTGGTGACGCAGGGTGAAGTGCGGAAAAACATAGTGCTTGACGCGAACCTTCCCAAACAACATAAACAGGAACTATCGCTGTACGACAACGAAGAGATTTGCGAATTTTGGGATCTTGTGGACGAAGCAAAGTCTGGCCAAGCTGATCATATCATGAGTGTCTGAATGGCGGGCCGTGCAGACTAGGTCCACTTATGGGTGCCCCGTTGAGCTTTAGGACAGGTGGGTGGCCGCAGAATGTGGAGCCGTTCTGATTTCGTCGAGTCGCCCACATAGGGCTGCTCTCCACCGTCCATTATCCGCAGCTTCCTCCTCTGCAGCCGCAGCTCATGCGAGAGGGGCCTGGATGGCAGAGATCGCTGCCACGCTGATGCGGCGGATGTCACACGTCGGCAACGTGTTCCAGCGATGAGGTATGGCTGTGCGGAGCGAAGCGTGCCGACACTTCTTCCGAACCGCCCAAGCTCGAGGGACCGGGCACGATTTGGGACAGAATGGTTACTCCAGATTTCGTAATAAAAGGGAGGGGGTCTGGACCCTCCAAGACAAGCCATTTCAGACCTCCCCCGTGGGAGAAATCTCCAAAACATCGTCCCCAGACCCCCCCAGGCCCTCCAAGATAGCCTGGAAGAGCCCCCCCCGAAATGAGACCCCCCTCCCTTTTATTACGAAATCAGGAGTACGCACATGCAGATGCATTATTCGAACACGCGGAAGGCCGTACGCTCGTGAATTCTCGGCCCCCGGGGCGAGGTCAGAGGGGGCGAGCCTCTTCAGAAGGTTCGGGAGGCCTCCGGCCTTCTGGGCCGCTTCCTGAGCCTTCTCCGGAGACAGCGCCCTCTTCTCGGAAGGCGCGGGGGCTTCTGAAAAGCCCCGCCACCGTCTGAGAAGGCCAGGCCTGCTGAGAAGTGCGTATTCTGTGGTGTGTGTGTGTGTGTGTGCATGTGTGCGTGTCCTAGGTGCCGAAGGCTCGTGGGCAAGGTGCCGAATATCACCACCTACCAAACCACCCCAACCCAACCCGAAGGCCTCAATTTGCCCTCCATTTCCAGTAGGGGGGGGTCTGGGAACGTTGAAAAAACACATGGAACCCGTACCCCCCCCAACCCGAAATTCGGGTCGAATTCGGGTCTTCGGGTTGGGTTGGGGTGGTCTGGTAGGTAGTCAGAATAGCGCGGTTAGACTTTGCCTCCCCCCTCTCGCTTCCCCCCTCGGCGCGCCGCCGAGTTTGGCCTTCGGGCCACAGCTCGGGGTCTCCGGCGGCCGCTCTGGACGACCCGCACCCCGGGAGTGCCCTCGGCGAGGCGCAGCTGCTGGACAGCGCCCCGGGGCTGCCAGAGAACCCGCGAGCGCGTCAGAAGACGCCGAGCTTCAGGAGGGGAGAAAACACACACAGACACAATGAATCGTCGATTCCTAGGAAGATATGGGGAAATATGGGAAGTGGGGGCGAAGACAAAAACCAAGAAAACATAGGAAAATCTTGGGAACCATTTCATTTGTGTGTATTTACTTGTGTGTCCCAGGGCCCCTTCAGAGCTGCCCCCCCCTCGGCGCGCCGCCGATGTTCGCTTGGCAGCACCGCCTGGCTCGAGCCGCTGCGGCTCGGCACGCAGGCCCCCTGCGACCATGCCTGGGCCCGTGTCGAGCCGCCGGCGCACGGCGCCGCGCCCCACGGCGCGGCGCTGCGTGATGGCCGGCCCGGCGCTGCCGTGAACGACGGGCGGCGGCCGGCGACCCCATGCAGCAGCCGCGGCGACAGCCCCGCAGGTCTGAGGGCACCAACTGCAGTCGGCCCAGGTCAGGAGGAGGAGGAGGAGGAGGAGGAGGAGGAGGAGGAGGAGGAGGAGGAGGGAGAGGGAATCATTCGCCTAGGGCGCCGACGACGGGAGGAGGGAGGAGAGGAGGAGGAGGAGGAGGAGGAGGAGGAGGAGGAGGAGGGAGGAGGAGGAGGAGGAGGAGGAGGAGGAGGAGGAGGAGGAGGAGGGAGGAGGGAGGAGGAGGAGGAGGAGGTCAGTAGGTCGACCCTGCCAAGTCAAGGGTGCCCATGTGTCCTGTGTCTCGCGACCCATGCTTCCTGCATTCCTGTGGCAGTGTCGCCCTCGGAAGGGTCTTGTGTTCCCTCGCGTGTCCTGTCCAATCGAGTCCGACTGTATACACCTACACCGATCCGGGCCAGGCCGATCCTGGGCTTATGATGCTCCAACCTACTTTAGCCTTGATCACCAGGAAGAATTTCGAGCGCCCAAAAAAGTACCGAAACTCGAGGGTTTTCTCGTGTCGGGCCCCGGGAGACACTCGCCCGACACTGTTTCGACACTGTTTCGACACTCCTTCGTGACTTTTCGGGGTGCTCGAAATGATTTCTGGGATGTGCCCAGGGGGCAGGAGGAGGAGGAGGAGGAGGAGGAGGAGGAGGAGGAGGAGGAGGGGGAGGAGGAGGAGGAGGAGGGAGGAGGGAGGAGGAGGAGGAGGAGGAGGAGGAGGAGGAGCAGGATGGGAACCACACAATCCTGGGCCCATGATCGGTGCACATGCCCCCCTGCCCGAGCCGGGAGGGCGTTTTCACCGAGCCCTGGCCCCGGGGTGGGCCTGCCCAGGAGCCATTCTGGCGCCGCCATCCGAGCCCTCGCCTCGCCGAATCAGCGCCTCGGGCAACTCGATGGGCGGCTGGGTACGGGATTCCCAGACCCCCTCGCGCTGTGAAAAAAACACAACGGGAGGTTCCTCGCTATGTTCGGCCCCCCGCTGGGCCTCGGGACCGTCAAAAAACGGCTCAGGATGTCAGGCCGGTCCCGGGGAAGGGGTCCAGACCTCTGGGGGTCGACGTTGTGAAGAAGTCACGACGTCGGGGGTCTGGGCTCGTCGAGCACGTGGCGAGATCCGAGCCCCACCCCCGCCGGCCTCCCGTCGACCCAGTGGACTCGGTGGTTGGTGGGGGCGGGGCGCGGATGTCGTAGGGGAGCAGACAATGGCATACACATACAAACTCGGAGGTCAGCGCATATTTCTCGGATCGGCGCTGGACCCCCCTCCATGGCGCGCGGAGCGCGCGGGCCCAGCGCCGATCCGAGGAATCCGCGCGGACCTCAGAGTTTTTGTGTTTATGCAATTGCTTGGGCCCCCATGCTTAAGCAGTGGGGAAGCCTCCTGGCGTGCCTGTAAGCCTACCGCCCGATGTCCTCAGAGCCTTTTGTTGTTTCCACGAGATGTTCTCAGAGCATTTCTGGCTGGGCCTGTCTGGTTTTACCGCCTCGGGCCTCCGTTCTGATCTGCTCCTGTCCCCCTGTGTCTGCTCCCCTGCGTCGCCACCCCGGCAGGGGCGGCGCCACCAGCGGCCCGCGCATCCACTTCGTGTACTGGGAGGGCGGCGACCCCAGCGCCGTGCGCTTCGCGGGCGGCGGCCCCAGCCTGTGCAGGCGGCCGGGCGCAGCGGAGCGAGCGGGCCGCGCGAGGAAAGCGTCTCAAGCAGTGGCGGAGCGTCCAGGCGTGCCTCTGTCTTGGCATCGCTCGGACGTGTGCATTTTTCCTCTGGCGAGGACCATCGAGGAGCATCCTCGATCATTTGGCGCAAGAGCCACGCACGAAACCGAAAAAAACACGGGGAATGGACGTTCGAGCAATGGCCAGTCTTGTGGTCTGCACGAGATGTTCTCGGAGCGGTTCTTGCCGGGGCTGTCCTGTTTTGACACATCGGGCTTATGCTCTGAGAACATTGTTCTTGCTCTTAGAACATTTTGGGGTTCTACGAAATTTCGTGGTAGGCCTATTGGAATGCTGGGACCGTCGGTCCCTGCTCAATGGAAAGCGGGTATCCTGGAGGATCCGGGGCCCCTGAGGGATGGAGCTCTAAGGGCGATCGAAGGAGGAACGGGTACCGATGCCGCCACTCTCCGCCCGTTTGCTCCTTGTTCGGCCTCCTGGGAGGCCCTCGTCGCCACCGCTGGATGCGCCTCGAAGTCCTGGTCAGAACGCACCCCAGACGAGGTCCGGGGAGCAGCCGTGTCGGTACCTTTTGGTTTTCCCAGACGAGTGGCGTGAAGCAGAGACGGTTCAGCTCGGGATCCCTTTCCTATTCTGAGGCCCCATCACTGAGGGCCCCATCCTTGAAGCCGCTGATCATGGACCCGCTCTTCTTCCTCTTGAGTCGTTTGCTGACGGTCCTGGGGCCCGCGGAGGGCCCTCGTCCCGTGGAGCCCGCAAGCGTCGAAAAGCCTCCAGGAGCTGTTTCCTCAGGAGCCGTTCCTAGATATCCGCTGATGCGTTGTTTTCAGTCCGCGGCCGCGCAGGTCCCGACCCCTTCCCCCTGCAGGGCCACATGTTCGCCGCGGATCCATTTTGGTGGTCCCCAGAGGCCGAACTCGAGGAAACGCGCCCGGATTGAGGAAGCAACTCTCGTCAGAGGTCCGGGTGAGCGCCGATGCCGTTGTTCCCCGGATCTCTCCCGGGCCTCGTTCTGACAAGAAGTTCGAGGTTTTTTGTCTTGGCAGGGCGGGCAGCGGTAGCAGTGCCTTCCCCCCTCTGAGTTCGCGCTCCCTCGGGGAAGGCAGTGCCGCGGCGTCAGCCGCCCGTGGCGCTACCGGACGGACAACCTCCAGGCGTGCATCCGGTCCTGCGGCAAGGAGGGCGCGATCTTCCGCCAGGAGGTGGCCGCCTTCGTGTGCCTGTCGCCCTGCATGGCCGGCTGGGCGGCGACGGGGGCGAGCAGTGAGCCCAGGGGGCAGGCATGATGGCGCGCAGCGTCGCGCACCCGCGGGGGCGCCTCGCCGAGGACACGGACTGGCAGCATCGGCGCCCCCGACCACGGTCACGGAAGTCTGCTCAGCGTGTCGCTGCGCCAGATCTGGCCCACCACGCTCTGGCGCGGCACTCGAACCACGCCCCCGGTCCCCAAGCGTCAACGCCCCGAGCCGTTCGCAGCCTCCTCCTGGCCCGCGGAGCGCCGCGCCAGTCATCAGCTATCAGCTTGCATGGCATAGCGTGTCGCCTCGGCCGCCGCTGCGGCACCCTGAGCAAAGGTCCGCGACCGTAGCCCTTCGGGTGGGCACTGCGCGCCTTCGCTGGGGCGCCTCGCCGACGACACTGGCCCATCGGCGCCCCCGGTCGACTGCGCGCAAGAGCGACCCTTCGCCGGAGGGACCTCCGGAGCTGGGCCGCTGGGGCCCCCGATGGCTGAACGCGATGCGGCAGTAGCGGCCTGCGCGCTGAGGTCATGCCCCCCTCGCGGCCCTTCTTTGTGGATGTGCGGTCGGCGCCCGGGGAGGAACGCGCTGATGTGGGCCGGATCTCGGGCCCTGAAGGGGCTCCAACCTTTTCATGTTCCCCGCAGTCGCCCCTGCGAACGGCGCCGACGTCGGGGGTGTTGGCCCGCGCGACATGTATATGCCCCTGGGCTGTTCGCCCCTATCGTCGCCTCCGGTGCATGGCCATCAAGTACAATCTGCAGCACTTCGGCAGCTGGCTTGTGTATCCCGAGGGAGAGGAAGGGTGGCATTGGCATCAATCGTCAGTGATCCGCGCGAGGTTCTTGGATCGGCGCTGGGCCCACCTGCCTAGCGCCCATGGCGCCGCCACTGGCCCCAGGGGACGAACATATACGGATACTGCTACTCGTCCTGGAGATCCCCCATCGCCATGGCTGGATTCTCCTCGGCACGTTGGTTATAGCGCACCCCTGAAGAGGTCAGGGAGCAGCGGAATTGGTAGCTTTTTGTGTCCCCATGGCTTGGCGCGCTCCGCCCGCCAGGGAGGGGGGTCCAGCGCCGATCCAAGACATCCGCACGGACCTCCGAAAGCTTATGCCCATGCTGTTGTTTTGCCCCCTCAGCATCGGAACACCAAGGCTCTCACGGAGGCGACCGTGCTTGGGGCCGCCCTCCGCGTTAGCACGGGCGAGGAGTTCGCGGAGGAGTGCGGCGTGGAGTGCACGTCCTTCGAGGGGTCTGGTGCTCCCGGGCCCTGGGACTGGCTCGAGGCCGATCTGCACCGCATCCGGGAGGAAGCGGACGCTGCTGGTGGTCGCATGCTTGCTCTGGTGCTGGACCGCGATGGGGACGAGCTGCTCCTGCTAGAGTTAAGTCGGGCCCGTCCCTCTACAGGGGGAATATTCAAACATAGTCAAAAAATAGTCTGGGGATCATTTTTGAGTATTTTTTGGCATCTTTTGAATATTTTTGGAGTATTTATCATTTTTCGTTGAAAATCCCCCTGTGGGGGGACACGCCCGACTTAATGCTAGAGAACAACGGGGTCGCCCCAGGGCCTCAGGTGGACTCTGTGGTCGTGGTGCTCGGCGGGCCCTCCGGCATGTCGCAGGACGTCTCCTCCTCCTCCTCCTCCCCTTCCTCCTCCTCCTCCTCCTCCTCCTCCTCCTCCTCTACTCCTACTCCTACTCTCTACTCCTACTCCTACTCCTACTCCTCCTCCTCCTCCTACTCCTCCCCCTCCTCCCCCTCCTCCTCCTCCTCCTCCTCCTCCTCCTCCTCCTCCTCCTCCTCCTCCTCCTCCTCCTCCTCCCTCCTCCTCCAGGACGTGGAGACTGCGATCAGGGACCTTCTAGGAGCTGTGGCGCACAGCCAGGTGCTGATCAAGCTGCCGGGGGGCCTGCAGCACTCGAACGTGGTGGTGGCAGATTTGCTCATGGCCCACGAGCGGAACTCGCTGCTGCCGGCGGTGGAGCAGCTGATCCGCTTCGGCTCCATCGGGTACAACAAGTGGCGGCGGGCAGCACTGTCGCTGATCCAGTCGCTCCAGGACCCTGGAAACGACTCCAGCACAGCGCTGGCGCAGGTTCGAGAGGCATCGAGCTGTGTCGGGAGGCATTCCTCGTCGAGGTCGGGCCAGCCCTCTCGGGCAGGGCCCAGACCCGGAGGACTCGGTGCCCCACGGATGCCAGCTCCGACTCATGGCAGGTCACGAGAGGCGAACTCGCGTCCATATCCACGCCCTCGTGGTCCGGATTCTTGGGCGCGATCCCGCGGACACGCGGTCGCACGGCCACGCTCCGCGCGAGGCACCCGCGACAACAGCGCGCCGTGTATCGCCGCGGGGTCGCGGCCCAGGGCCCCGGCCCGCGAGGCCGCGGATGTTATGCGGATGCGCTCTCCGCCCGCGGGCAGGGCCGAGGCGCCCTGGGCCGCCGCTGCGCAGGGGCCGCTGGCCCTGGCAGGCGCGGCCGGCGGCAGCCCGGAGGCTGGCGGCCCTCCCGCCGCCGGCCGCGGCCGCGCCGCCGCGGCCGCCCCCGAGGCCGCGCAGGCGCCGGCCGCCGGAGGCGCGCCCGGCAGCGGCGGGCCAGCCGGCGGCGCCCCTGCCGCGGGCCACGGCCGCGCCGCCGCGGCCGGGCCGGCGGGCGCCGAGGCCGCGGAGGTCGCCGAGGGCGGGCGCCCGCAGGGCGACGGGCTCGCGAGGATCAAGGGGGGGCAGGAGGAGGCCGCCTCGACCCCGAGAGTTGGCGCATGCAGGTGCACGTTGCTGATTTTACAATTCTTCGAAAGTTCTTCGATTTTTGTTGGGAGGCCAAGATCCTTTCATTTCTAATTCTTCTATCCTGGGCCCCTTCCTGGCCACTAGGAAGCCAGGAACAATTGGAAACGAGCACGACGATTAGAAACGAGCACGATCAGAAATGAACGACGTGTGCCACCAGCGGCCCTATAGGCGTTCGGTGCGCAGCCCTGCCCTGTGCGGTGCCTCGGGTGCGCATGCGGAACGGCTGCACTCAACGGGCTGCGTGTTGCCCAGACCCCCGACGCCATGAGTTCTGCACCCTGAGTCGTTCTTTGACGGCCCTTGGGCCTGGCGATGAGACCGAACATCGCCCCAACGCCGTCCGTCGCGATTCTTTCCCGGCCCCGGGCGGGGGGTCTGGGAACGCCTCCGCTTCTCGGGCTGCCTCTCTCGAGGGCGGCTTCTCTCGAGGGCGGCTTCTTCGGCTTGCTCCCCTAAGAGGGCGGCAGCGCGAGCGATGGGCGCGGACGGCCCCGAGGCCGCGGCGGGCAAGGCGCACGGCTCGCGGCAGCCCGCCTCCGCCGCGCCCGGCGGCCTGCGCGCGGGCGCCGCCGCGCCCGGGCCCTGCGCGGCCGGCCCCGCGGAGGCCTCTGCGGCGGGCGGGCCGAGGCGGAGGCCCCCGGCGCGGCGGCGGCGAGCGGGCGCGGCCCGCCCGCTGCAGAGGCACCGCCGGCGGCCCCCGCAGAGCCCCGGGCGGCCGGGCCGCCCGGGGCAGGCGGGCGGGAGCCGCCCCCGCAGGCGCCCGCGGCGGCGGCGCACGCCCCGGACCCCGAGCAGTGGCCCGCGCTGGGCCGGGCCGCCGCGCCCAAGAGGAGCCGCTACAAGATGCCGCCGTGCTGAGGGCCGCGGGGGGCCGCTGGCGAAAGGGCGCGACGTCGCCTGGGGCGGGGGCCCGCAGCGGCGGACGCCCAGGGCCCCCCCGAGCTGTGGCCCGCGCTGGCCCAGGGAGGAGCGCCCGCGACAGGATGCTGCCGCGAGGAGGGCCGCCCCTCGCCGGCCGGGGTGGCAGCCCCGCGCGCTGGCGCTGCGGCCCCCTTTGTTCGGGCGGCGCACACAGGTCTGAAGTCGGGAGTGTCCCTCTACAGGAGGCATATTCAAAAATAGTAAAAGATAGCCAGGGGACAATGTATGAAGCATTTGTGTTGTATTGTGGGGCATGTTTCTGAGAGTTAACACAAGCCGCAGTGAAGCGGAGCGGGTCCTTGCGGGCAAGGGATCGTGGAGCTCTTTCGCCGCCGTCTGGCTCCCGGGGTCCTCCCCGAGGCCCGGGGACCGTCAGGAACCGACTCAGGGTTTATGATGCTCCAACCTACACAACCTGCACAAAGATCACTTCTAATTCCTCGGAAGTTCTTTTGATTTTTGGGGGGCCCAGATCCTTTCATTTCTGATTCTTCTATCCTGGGCCCCTTCCTGGCCACTAGGGGCCAGGAACAACTGGGAACGAGCACAATTAGAATTTGAGCACGATGAGAAATGAACGACGTGTACTTTAGCCTTGATCGCCAGAAAGAATTTCGAGCAACGAGAAAGTACCGAAACTGGAGGTTTTTCACGTGTCGGGCACTGGGCAGCGATACTCTTTCGACACTGTTTCGACACCTTTCTGGGTGCTCGAGATAATTTCTGAGATGTGGTCCTTAAGTACGATGGGAACAAGATAACTCAGGGTGAAGAGGTGGTCGCAGGGGAAGGCCTGGGGGTCCAGGACCCGTTTCCCTCAGGACCCGCTTACAAGTCATGCCAAGCGCAGGGGTGGTGGGATGGTGCGAAGGGGGCAGTTTCCCAAGAAGCATTCTTAAAGATCCCAGGGCCATGCTAAGAAGGCCCGCGCCTCCCCCGAATCTGAAGGGTCGAAGTGGGTACGGACTGACCGGTGGCAAAGAACGACAGCCGTTAGTTCCTGTTCGTTTTGAACTGGACTCGCTGTCGGCGTGGCCGCGAACGTTGTTCCCAAGAGCGGCCTTTGTCGGGGTTGGGCTGACTATATGTGCTCTGTGGCATCGTGCGGGCCCCTCTTCGCGTCACACACTTGTGCGCGCCGCCAAATTTTCCGTATCGTATTTGATCGCGGAACAGAAGCGACATAGTCATACTTTGTCGGAAGTGTGCGCGAATTTCTTGGGTCGGCGCTAGACCCCCCTAGCGCCCGCGTCGGTTCGCGCGCCAGCCGACGGGGGTCCAGCGCCGACAAACAATTCGCGTGGACCTGCGAACCTCTATGTTTATGCAGTTTTTTCGGTTTTCTAAACAACGTACGGGCTAGATGCACCCACTGAGCGTGCCCCGTCCTATTGTGAATCCCCCAGCTGTCCATCAGGTTGCAGCATGCACCTCACTGTGTCCAGGTGTATCTGAACGTGCCCCGCATAAGCCTCCAAATGTACCCAAATCGGTCCAGAATCAATATGTAGCCATTGTGACTCAAGCAATCTGCGCTCGCGCTGTGAGCTGCGACGAGGCAGCTTTTGCCAGCCCTTGCTTGAATTCACCAGCCCAACGGACCAGAGGCGCGCAAATAGCTCGGGCAACAGGTTGAGAACGTTTCTAGTTCGCGCGCGCGTGGCGGCCCCTGGGGGTCCCCAGTCCAAAAGTACCTCGGGCACTGCTGCTCAAGAATGCCGGCATTCTTGGGGCCCGTCTTCAAGGCTCTCAGGATCGTCCCAGAGGGCCCCAAGAGGCCCCCCATACGGTCCAAGAGGGTTCCGAGACGCCCAATGATCGTTCCAAGACGCCTAAGATGGCCTCCAGACGGCCAAAGAGTCCTCCAAGACGCCCAAGAGTGCCCAAGAGGCAAACCTCATCGGTTGTGCTAGGTTCTTGAAGGATTTGGGCATTCTCGCCTTTTCGGCTTCCCGACACTCCAAGAACGCCACAGAGGCCCCCATGATCGCCCCACGTTAGCCCAAGAGGCATCGGCCTCCAAAACGGCCCAAGGGACTCAAGACGGCTCTAAGAGAGAGCCCAGACGAGGGACCCGAAAGTACATCTCGAGCCCTCGACCCTAATAAGCCCCCGGGAGGCCCCAAGAGGCCCCCATGAGGCCCCCCAAAAGGCCCCAGCAGGCCCCCAAGATGCACTCCGGTGGCCTCACGAGGCCGCCTAAGAGACCCCCAAGGGGCCCCCTGGAGGCCCCCAAGAGGCCGCCAAAAGGTTTCCAAACTGCCCCCCAGAGACCCCTGAGAGCTTTCTGAAGAGACCCCATGCCTGCTGTCGCACCGCCTTCGGAAAACGATAACCTCCCAGCGGCGCTGCATGGGTCGCGAAAGCGCAGGCAAACGCCAGCGATGGTACAATACGGGCCAGCGGAATGAGCGAAGCGATTCAATAATCGAGCTCATGCCGCCGTCCCGAGAGCCCGTGCTGCGGCCGGGGCGCTTTCTGGCCACCACTTCCGTGCCAAAACGACACCCCTTTCACGTGCTCGGCTTCCGAACGCCAACAGGCCCTCTCAGAGACCTCTCGGGGAGCCTACTGTGCCTGTTTGGGGGGCCTCTCGCTGCTCTTTGTGGGCTGATCTTGACCTTCCTTCGGGCCACCAGCGGCCGTGCCGGATGCCCCTGCACCACTCTTCGAGTCTTATTTACCAGAAGCCCCTAACAAGCAAACGTCATAGCAAAGCACAGGGTTCTGACGATGTTGTCCTTATCGGGCTGTTCCTGGCGCCTCTATTCGAGCTCCTGTGTATCTCCGCGGGCTCTTGCGGCTCCTCCTCCTCCTCCTCCTCCTCCTCCTCCTCCTCCTCCTCCTCCTCCTCCTCCTCCCTCTCCTCCTCCTCCTCACTCCCCGTCCCCCGTGCCCCCTGGAGTGCTCCTCCTCCTCCTCCTCCTCCTCCTCCTCCTCCTCCTCCTCCTCCTCCTCCCCCTCCTCCTCCTCCTCCTCCTCCTCCTCCTCCTCCTCCTCCTCCTCCTCCTCCTCCCCCTCCTCCTCCCTCAAGTTCTCCGTTTTCTGCTCCGCCCCCCTCCCCGATCTCCTTCCGGGGCGGTTTTGCGAGGTCCCTCCGCGTGGGCGGATCTGTCTCCTGCTCGGCTCGGGCACTCGGGGGGCCCCTGATCGACCCGCCATCGGGGGGCCCGCCCCCTGCCCACTGGAATACCATCACGACTGTTGGACTCCATGCGGCCCCGCTGGACTCGACGCATGTCATGCGACAGCAAGGCACCTCGTGGTACTCCACAGGGCCCCATTGCACTCCACTGGATTCCACTGGCCAGGGGATGGGGCTCCAGCGCCGACCCATGAACTCCACACGGACCTCCGGACGTTTCTGTGTTGGCAGCTGCATCTTGTTGGCCCAGGAGGAGTGTAGAACGCCACCGCTGCACACATCTGGCCAGTGCGAGAGCCGGATGCACCCGTGGCCTCATGCCAGTCCAGCGCTCGGCTCTTCCATGGCCGGGCCCGCCCGCCCTCCGCATGTGTAGCCATCGCGCGGCCTTCGCATGTTACACATGCGAGTCCACACGCATGTGCTTCCAGTCTCCTGGTAAGGAGGAGGAGGAGGAGGAGGAGGAGGAGGAGGAGGAGGAGGAGGAGGAGAGGAGGAGGCGGAGGGAGGAGGAGGAGGGAGGAGGAGGAGGAGGAGGAGGAGGAGGAGGAGGAGGAGGAGGAGGAGGAGGAGGAGGAGGAGGAGAGGAGAGGAGGAGGAGGAGGAGGAGGAGGAGGAGGAGGAGGAGGAGGAGGGAGGAGGAGGAGGAGGAGGAGGAGGAGGAGGAGGAGGAGGAGGAGGAGGAGGAGGAGGAGGAGGAGGAGGAGGAGGACCCCTGCCCTACGGGAAAGCGTTCGTCCTGGATCCATGATTGATGGCCCCCAGGGCCGCAAGCGTCTACATGTTCCAATCGGCAAGAGAACCGTCGGGGTTGAACAACAATCACATCGTCGCAGATGCAGGTCTGTGCTAAGCTGCGCTGACCCCGCGCTCCGCCGCGAGGAGACCCCGTGCCACCCTCGGCAGTCGCCTGGTCCGCGTGCCCACGGATCTCCAGCCCGACGCCGCGCCCAAGGCCGTTTTCTGGTTCTTAACATTTTTTTGTCTGGCCTCCTGCCGCGCCGCGCTCGCATCGAAGACGAAACACTGCACAAGCATGAACTTTAGGAACTCCGCGCGGGTTTGTTTGATCGGACTTTCCTGGCGGCGCCTCCAGCGCCCCCCCTGGCGCGCTCCGCGCGCCAGGCAAGGTGGGTCCAGCGCCGATCCAAGGAATCCGCGCAGGGCTCCGATGTTTATGCAGATGTTTGTTCCTCTTCTGCAGCTCCTAGACATCCAGCGCAATGTCAACATCAGGGCGGTTGCCGTCGCTTGCGGCCTCCAGGGGCCCGTACCAGAGGAACCAATCTGGACAACAATCCAGCCCTGGGTAAAGGGTCGGGCCTTTTTGGGGGCCGTAGTTACGGGACAACTCAAGACATCGGATCTCTGGGTCTCCCTGGGTTTGGTGTCGAAGAGCGGAGGTCGAGGACTAGTGGCGTGTGCATCATGGGCGCGGGGCAATACATTCTGCCAGATGTGTCGTGGCCCTACACACAGACATGGGCGCTGCATTTGTTGTCAATCTGGGGTTTTCGCCCGGTTTCGGTCCCGAGGGCCCTCGCGGGGCCACCTGGCTCGGAAGTGCAGCGAACAGAGGGGGGGGGGGCTCTGGTTGTGATTTCTGGCATCTCAGGGAGGGGTGTGTGGATATCATGGTGGCCCAGGTCCCAGGGGGCCCAGGACTTTTTTTTTTCAATCCGCGGCCCAAGAGGTCCCGACCCCTGCACCTGTTCGTAGCTGTCCGTCCGGGGCACATGTTTGACGGTGGGCCGGGAGCCGCATGTGAAGTTGGCCGCTTGGGCCTGGCGTCATATAGTCAGTCGGAGATCCAGGTCGTCGGGATTCGGGGGCCCGTCTTGGCTTCCTCGAGGCGTCGGAGGTCTGGGCTCGAGGGTCCCCCCGCGGGCAATGCCGGTCCTGCGCCCGGGCCGTGCGCTGCTCGCCGGCGCCCTCGCCGCGGCACTTCCCGCGGCTGCGGCCGACGGAGCGGCGGGCGGGTGGCGCAATGATCGGGGATCCAGACAACCTCGCGTCGTGAAAAGATCACGACGGAGGATTTTTCTTTTTGTTATGGTTGTTGCTTTGCGTCCTTTTAGTCGGCTTCGGGGCCGTGAGAAAATGGACTCAGGATGAAAAGCTGGTCGGTCCCCGGGAAGAGGTCCAGACCTCTGAAGGTCTTGATCTAGGTCGTGGAAAGATCGCGATGTCGGAGATTGGAAGGGACGCCTTTCTCCTGCGTCTCGAAGCTCTGCAAGACGATCCAGCATTTGCGGCTGTGAGCGCCGTGTGGGCCAGGGGGCGGGGGGGAAGAGCTCGGGCCAAACGAAAGAAGTTAGCTTTTTCCCCCCGACAGGTTGAGGCTTTCAGATTTGCAGTGAAGATCTCCCGACCTGCCTCTCACACCCTGCAAATTGGGGCTCCCAGGCCCAAAGTGCACCGATGCTCTCAGTGTGCCCCGTCTCTCGATCCCGTCTCGTTTTCTCGGGTGCGCCCGAATCAACTTGTCATTGTTTTTTTTTTTTTTTTTTTTTTTTTTCGCTATCGGCTCGATGTCCAGTTGGACGCAGCCGTCCGTGTCATTGTGTTATCCTTCCTCGCAGCATCCAGGGCAGGTGATCCTTAGTCGCTCCGGCCGGCGCCGTCCCCTTGGTCCCTGATGATCTCGATGACGGCCGTTGGAGCAATTATGGATCAAGCAAGACTCGCTTAAGGGGCGGATTGGGAATCTGTGAGGTTACCGTGTGGGCTGGGCAAGGACACCCCTGAGGCCGAAAATTGCCGAACACCTTCCGCCGTGACCGCGCTCCTTTCCGATATTTGTTTTTGTTCCGTCCGTGGCCCCTCAAATTTTGCCAGACATTGCCTGTCGCGATTGCGTTCCCAGATATGTGTCCGCTAAGTCTTGCGTCGCGGATCCGTTCTTCCTGGCCCTTTGGGCATGCTTGGGTCAAGGTCGACAAAAAACGCCGTTGTCGAACGAGGCATCCTGCAGGACCCAGGGGGGGAGGGGTGCGGCGGGGCGGGGGTCGCCCAGGGAGGGCCCCCCATTCGTAGCCATGTTGGCTCGAGATATTTTTCTTGAGTGGGCAGCCCACATCAGTGAGCGAACCTCCTTTCACCGGGGGGCGGACATTCTTAGTTTAGCTCCGCAGGCTTTACGTTTCGTTCTTCCACATCTCCCGTGCCAGGTGTTGACCTGGCCCTATGAGCAAGCCTGGGGGCGCGAATGCTGATGGCTCGGCGAGTGGCAGTCGCCGAGATGTCGGCTCTTCTCGATCGCCGACGCGTGGCTTTTCTCGTGCCGATGCTGCTGGTATGCGTTCTCATGTAGACGACACCAGGACTATCATCATGCAGAGCATCGAGGCAAATCAAGCATCCGTTTGAGCACTGGGCAAGCATGTCACGGACAACTTCGACAGCCTGAACAGCAGCATCCACGTGCGGTTCGAGGCCCTTGAGAAGAAAGTTGACAACGCAGACCATTCCTTCAGTGGCCTGCGCTTGGAGCTCCAAGCGCTCAAGGAGGAACTGGCCACCATCAAGAACACCTCCGTCCCCGAGGTCGCTGCTACGGTGGCCAACCGGGACTTCGAGCGCGACATCGACCCGACCATCACCATCATACGTTGCCCCGAATTACGTTGTCACTCGTGCGACGGTTGGCGAGTGACGTCCAGCTCTTGCTGCTAGACGCCAAACGGGAGCCCGACAGCTGGTCTAGTCAAGGAGACCCCGCAAGGAAGAGGTCAGTAATCAAATGTCGTGAAGCTTTCGGATGGGCAGCGCGCAGAGTTGGCTAAGCAAGTGGTAGCCCTTCGGCAAGCTGATGGTCAATACCGCCGTTTCAACACCCCGTCATCTACGAATGTGCTGAGTTAGTTGTTCAATTTTCTGGACAAAAATCGTGTCCGAACATAAAGGATATTGCTACCATAACTATTCGCCGTGCACTTCCAGCGAATCATCTAAACGCCAGGTGTTTCGCGGACCGACACGTTGGTGCTGTGCCAAGTCTAGGGGGCCGCTCGTCAAAACTACCCCGACGCGTGACAACTGCCCGCCGACGCTGGAGAGGGAACCATCAAACATTCAGAACCTGGGCGTCGATGGCCGAGGATCAACGCCGCCCTCGCAGGCCCCAGCGCTGCGAGTTCGGCCAGCTGGAGTCTTTAGTCAGTTTTTTTTCGCGTCCTCGGAGGGGCGCCGCTTGACGCCAGGAGCTTAACATGCTGCACCTGGAACGGCGGAGCCACATTTTACCACGATCCCCACTATCGTTCTCCCAAGCTTGCCTACCTTACTCGACTGGCGAAACCGAACTCCGATCATCGCCCGTCAGGAGACCCGCGGAGATATCGACGATTTGTACGACTTTCTCTTCCTCGCTTGTAAGTTCTTCTTTGGCGAGGCGAGCTTCACTGATTCCATAGGCAACGGGGGCGTTGCCATCATGTTCCCTTCTCTCAGCCCCGAGAACTGCTCCCACCGCGAGGCTAAGTGCGAGTCCGAGATCGTGATCTCTGGGCGCATCTTGCCTTGTCTCTTTCAGCAGGGGCCGTCTTTTGGTAACTGTGGCCCTCCTGTCGTCACTTCAACGTCGACAAGTTTGCGCTTCCCCCGGATCAGATCAGAAGAACGACCCGGTTGATCAAAAGCGAACTTGAGAAAGTTTGTTAATTCAGACACCTATCTCGTCGCCGGTGCAAGCAATTTTAATATCGCTGCAGAGCTCCCTCTGCCGCGCACTCCTTCTCCGCAGCTAGTTCCGTGCGCAGGTCTTTCTGAGCGGCGCCGTCAGCGTGCCTCGGTTTTGTCGGAGGTTCTAATTGCAATGGTGGAGATCGAGAGCCCGTCCCCGATGCATTAGAATGGTAGTCTGCAGCGAACTCGCACAATCGTTCGGAGTGTCACAGACATTCCTGGGTACTCTTCAACGTGCATGCAGGTTGGCGCTTCGGCCCTGAAGATGCCCGAGAAAACCGGGGGCGAGAGAGTAGAGTACCTCTGACCACGCAGCTCTCGCAGTCCACCCTCGGCATGCGGGGGCTTCCAGAGTCCCCCACCAGGCCCACCCCGAAGGAGTTCGCCCGCCACCTCACGTTCAAGGAGTTCGCCTAGCAGACGCCGGACGGGGGTGATACGCCAGGCAATGGCCCCCGATGAAGCGTGAGTTCCACAAGCGAATCCTTAGTGGAGGCGCGAGGCATGCTCGGGAATTCCTTACCCCGGACCCCTTCGGACCCGATGGCGAAGCTGGCGCTGGTGAGATCCACTGGTCGCGTCGTTTGGAGGTGCGACATCCAGCTTGCCTGGCGCCGCTGTCAGCGCCCCATGGCGCATGAGATGGTGGAGGTCGACCCAGCCATCCCCAGGGCGAACCAGATAGATCCCCAGAAGGAAGTTCCCCGACACGCTAAACGCCGTTCGGCCCCAGGACGCAGAGAGAGAATGAGAGAGTGAGAGAGAGAGGGAGAGAGAGAGAGAGAGAGAGAGAGAGCGAGCGAGCGAGCGAGCGAGAGAGAGAGAGAGAGAGAGGGAGGGAGAGAGAGAGAGAGAGAGAGAGAGAAAAAGAGAGAGAGAGAGGGAAACAAAAAGAGAGAGGGAGAGAGAGGGAGAGGGAGAGGGAGCAGAAGCAGTCGTCCGAGCAGATGCAGACCCTGCCCTCCGAGTCCGCCCGTTCCAAGCTCAAGAAGCGTCTGCGGGGGCTCGTCCGCAGGGTCCGCCTCTGGGCGCCGCTTGACCGACGGCTTCAACTCGCGGGGGCGCGAGTTGGCAGGGGCGCCCTGGTTGCACGGGAGCATCTGAAACGCGCGATCACCGCCCATTGGAGCCAGGTTTTTCATTCGGGGAAGTCGATGCCCGCGCGGAAGAGTCTTACCTTGGCCGATGTGCTCCTCAATGCGATCTTCGTGGTGGCTCTCCTCCTCGGCATCGTGGCGCCGGTGCGTGGGCCGACGCGCGGGTGGTGCTCCGGGCCCATGGCGCCCCCTATTGCGCCTTTCAGAATGCCCCGTGCTCGAAGCAAGTGTTTTCCGAAGCCCTGTTCTGGCGGCTATCTGGGATGCCCATGGCATGGATATCACACGATTTTGATGGCACGCATTCCCCCGAGGGTGAGGAGTGGGATGAACGCAGAAATTGCGTTCGAGATGCCGCTGACATGTGGCCATTTGGTTTAGGATCACAGGTGGCGCAATAATTTCGGTGGCCAATTTCCTGAATCATTAACGACATCATGCCACGGCTCGCGGCCCACATGCAGAAGGGCTACATCTGGCCTCGCGGCTGCGGAAACAACGCCGTCGAGTTAGATTGCGATCCCCGCGTGCTCTCGACGCCGCCGTCGGCCAGAGGACTTGCCAGTGTTGGCGAGTTTCGATGTCGGCCAGGCCCTTTCCCAGCCGCTGCCACGATGGCCTATCGCGGGGCCCCAGGCGCCGCGCGCGCGCTCTGCCGCGGCGTCTTCCCGTCTCTGCGTCGTTCCCTCTCTTCCAGGGAAGCGGGGCCGCGCGGGGCTGCCTGGCCTCGCGGGGCGCCGTGCGCGCTCGGCCCCCGGATGGTCTCCCCCCGTGACACACGGGGGCGCCTCTCCGGCGAGGCGGCGGTCCGAGTTGGGGCCAGAGCGTGCGCGGGCGCTTCGGACGCCGCGCGTCGCGAGCTCGCCCCCATGAAGATCTGCCCCTGCACCTCAGGCGCCATCGAGCGCGCTGCGGCCCTCGGGCTGAAGAGGTCGCCATGTGCAGGATCGCCCACGTGGTCGCGGCGTGCTCCGTGGAGCTTGCCGGTGGATCTGCTGAGTGGCCTCGATCTCATTTTCCCCGATGGGCCTCGTTTGAGGTCGTGAACGTTTTAGGATACCTGGCCCTCTGGTTGGGCCCGACTGCTGACATGCGCGCGCGGGGCCCTCCCGCGAGCGCGGCTCGAGGCTGGCCAAGCAGGGCCCCCCGATGGCGGCTACGCCTCTCTTGCGCGAAGGCCGCG